GCTCTACATTCAGCTGCGCACAATCGGGATAATCTAGCAACATGCGGTTCAGTTGTTCCACGACGAAATCGGCTGCATCGCGGAGTCTCTTGTCGCTGGCGTCCACTCGATGGGTGTGTTCACAGGTACAATAGTGTTCAGGAATGGAAGCGTCTTCGCACGTTCTGTTCAGTGGGATTTCGTGGAACAGACTCTGGCCGTGTGCTAAGGGAGGCAAGCTGGGGAAGTGTGTGAGAAGGGAAGGTGATAATATGCTAATATGATATGAAGGAAATCTGTTGATGAGGCAATAAGGCATTGAAGGGAATGTGGTAAGTTGTAATGTTTGTGGCTAAATCATCTGTCTATTTTTCTATTTATCTATCTATCGCCCATATAAATCCTGGGTACTTTTATATATTGTATCATAGTGTAGGGTCAGTGTAGAGTGCTTAATTATACTGATTATCATTTTAATAACCTTTCTGTATGTTGGGATATTTGTCATCAACTGAAATTTCTTATCAAAGACACAGTATTATCAGTCCATCTATAGATAAAATCTCAGCGTCAGACTCACCTCTCTGCTGCCTCCTCGTACCCGGCGAAGAGGATGTCTCTCAGCGTCACGTGAAAGTCGAAATTGGACACGAGTCTCCTTGTATTTGTCTCCAAGCTCTCCCAGGCGCGCGGGTAGCTGTGCCTGAACCAAGAGGGGAGCAGCGCGAAGAAAAACGGCAGTCTCTCTTCCAGGAGGCCCGCGTAGGTCGCCCTTATGTCGCCGAACCTGATGCCGTGGTCGCTCAGAAGGAAGACGACCGTGTGCTCCAGCGCCCCGCTTGCGTTTAACTTTCTTAAGTACTCGACTGAAGGCTCGTCCGCCGCCGACGCCCATTCGACCACCGTGTGAGTCAGGCCCGTGCTCCAGTATAGGGCGAAGTAAGGGAGGTCCTTAAATGCCTCCGCGACGGATAAAGAATAATCGTAAATGACGGAGATGCTTTTCGCTCCGCCCTGGCAGAGTGCGGCGTCCCCGCCCTGCCCTCCGCTGTGCCGGATGTAGCGGTCGGACGCCAGCATGGAAGGCCGGTTATAGTAGTCCGTCGGCTCCCTCAGGAACCCGAACCTGCCGTGGTGGAAGATGCCGACGGAGGGGACGTCCTCGCCGTACACGGTGACGTAGCCGGCGTCGGAGAAGTTCCTCCAGATGAGGGGGCAGCCGTCGAAGATCGTGTTCACCGGCTGGCACGTCCTCTTCAGCTCCTCCTGCGTGAGTCCCATGAGAGACGCGGCCATGTTCGGGTTCGTGTTGTCGGCCACTTTGTTGAAGGCGTGGAAGTCGAGGGCGCCGAGGTCGTCCTTCAGGAGCCGGAAGGTGCGGGGCATGTTGCGCCGCATGTTGGCTCGGGACACGGAGTCGATGCCCATGACCAACACGCTCAGGGGCATTCGGCGGCGATTCCCGACATGTTTCTGAGGCAAGCGAAAGAAAAACGGTCAGGATTTCACGCGGATGGAAATGTTCTCAGCACCAGAAACTGATCATGTTTGTAAAAAAGTATTTACTGCTTAGAATATAATTATTCGGGAGCATAATCTATGAGTATGACAATGAATCGGAAGCAAAAACGCAATTTCCTGTCCACTTTGTCACTCGGTATTTTCTACACATAAAAAGAAAGAAAGAAAAAGAAGAAGAAATATTCATATATATTTCTATGTCAGTCTGCCAAACACTACACAGTCTGCAATTATGAATACCCTTTTGTGTATTCATAGAATAATAAAAAAAAACAGTAGTAGTAAAAAAAAAAAAAGTGCGTGCGCGTCAACAGAGGGAAGTATTATTTTAAATTAACACAAGATTTTTACGGCAGTTGCCAGATGTACCCTGGCTTTGTCAGTGCTTGCCGAGAAATATATGAAAAATGGATAATGATCATATTATGGAAATACATGTTGGAATGGTGAGATATTTTTTATCATCGATACGGTAATAGGATTGATATTCTCTACTTTCGAGGGTCCGATGTTCACTGCCAGCTGACCACTGAATTAGTCATTCTTTGAAAATCCAATTTGCCGCAGGGTGGTCTACTCTATAAAAGAAAAGGTTTGTGTATATATGTGTATATATATATATATATATATATATATATATATATATATATATATATATATATATATAATATAATATAATATATATAATATATAATATATAATAATAATAATAATAATAATAATAATAATAATAATAACAATAATAATAATGATGATGATAATAATGATATTAATAAGTATAATATATATATACAATAATAAATATGAATATATAACCATAAATACATAAGCCGTTTCTGTGTTAATTAAAATAAATAACTCCCCTCTGTTGACTCTCCTATACACTATTTTTAGGACTCTCTACTACCCGTTTATTATTCTATGAACACACAAAAGGGCGCACATTCCCTCGCTGGATTCATAATTGTAGACGGTGTAGTATTTACACTGATATAGAAAA